TTGGGTTGAACATTCCTGGCTCCGAATACGTCAACATCCCTGCAGACAACATTAGCAGCTGCTGCGCATCTAGCAGAGGGACAATTTTTAAATATGGAGCAAACATTGAACAATGCAAAATCTCTGATATACCGAGCAGGAACTCGGAGACCAACAATTTCCAGGGCAGAAGGGCAGAATTTAGAGCCAAAATAAACTTGAATAAGAAAGAGAGCATCAAGGCGATGTCTCCTAGTAATAATAATAATAATAATAATAATTCAATTCATTTTTATTTGCGTGAAAACTTAACAGCACAGAGGACAATTACAAAGTTAACATGAGTACACAGATATACAAAAAAAGTAATTAAAAAACAAAAAAAATATGGTAGTTATATAATGGCATTAATGATAATTTCATTAATATAAATTTAAGTTTTTATTGAGAATTTATAAATGTAAAATATAAGTATTTAGGAGGAATAATAATAATAATCAGCCTAATAATAATTCAATTCTATTCTTATTTTTTCGCCTGTTAACTCAGCAGCTCAAGGGTTAATTACAAAGTGCGCACGAGTGAAGGAACGAAACAAACACACACAGAACACAAAACAAGGCAATTTATGATATCTGAATAATGATAATAAAATAGCGATAAAAAAATCAAAGTTGTAATTTATTGGGTGATGATAATCCAATTCAATTCATCAACCGAGTCAACAGCCACAAGGCCAATTACAGACATAGCACAGTGTAGATATTAGTAATAACATTATGGAGAAACACAACATAAAGTCGAAGAGAAATTACAGACAAGCGCTGGAGGAAACAGCACATTAGTACAGAAAAGTAAACAAACAAAAGAAGACGAGGAGTGGCAAGAACATGATAACTAAGAACTACATGACACAGAACATTAGAATTATGAACAAATATTATTAACAATGTTATGTTGATGAGTATAAATGTGATTGACAGAAACCGCTCCGATTGCAAATATGTCGAGATCTTTACCCACCGGGTTGGCAGCGCAGGCGCACCGAGCAGAAGGACAGTGTTTATTAGAGAGGCAGTCACCAAACAATGAGAAGTCCCTAAGGTTGCTGGGAGGAACACGAAGGCTAACATTTTCTAAGAGGAAAGTGCATAATTTAAGACCNGGGGGGGGGGGGGTCCATACGGCAATGATTATTATGAACAGGTTGAAAATGCTTAGTGAACGCATCAGCAGCTGCACTGAGCAGGGCTAAGTGTGCGCACACAGCCTCAAGCTGAACAGAACCGGTTCTATGTTTTCTTAAATTAGATACATATTTCCAGAATTTAACTGAATTATTATTATTATTTGCTTGTTTATTTGTTTATTGTGTGTATTTTTATTATTTTCTTTCCTCGTTCTAGCTTTGTAATTGGCCTTCCGACTGTTAAGTTGGCACGTAAATAAACAAACAAACTCCATGATTTTAGTCCGCAAGCGAACTATACCGACCGAGCGACCGTCGCTTGTCGGCGAAGTTTAGTGNCTGTTAAATTATAACGTAAATAGCAACTTAACTGAATTCTTATTATCATTATTACACTGTGCTGCTCTACAATTGGCTTTGTATCTGTTCATTCGGGGCATAAATAATAAATCATTTAATTTCTTGCAAAAGATACAATTAAAAACAACATATAAAACCAATATTATACCATCTATATAAAAAGTGATAATTCTCGGGATGAACTCAGGTAATATTTATTATATTAATCATCAAAAACAAAATTGTACTTGATGGTTAATATAGCAAATATTTGTTGAAAATATAACAACAAAACGCTTTCATTAATATAATCAGCACAAAAATAGTTTTAATAAACTACTTTCGCAAATATTTACACACGTAAAGGCACTTCAATATGAAGTAATGTGATTTTATTGAATGACATTTATATGGCTGAAATATACGCTCATTGCATCTCTAATGTGTTACTGCAGAAAACAAATTAATATTGATAATGATTTTGTTCAAGTTCCCTGAAATAAATTAAAAATATATACCAATATGCACGATCTTCACAGTGCCTGCAAAGGAACTGAAATCTTAGTATTTAAATTACTATGGCGTTATTACTTGTATATACCTGTATGGAAAAAATTAACGTTATACGGTGTACGGATAATGAAATATACAATATTAAATCAAGGCATTATAAACCATTTTCCATATTTGAATAGAAAAACTATCCTAGAAAGATAAACATATTAATTAGTTACAAGTAACGGTTAAATATTTAAATGAAGTTAAAAGTTAAACAGACTTAATTGTAAAAACTATACATTTATTTTATTCAGAAAATGTAGTAGAAATTTGATGTGCATTGCTTCAGATGCTAAAAGGTCAAAAATGTTGACTGCAGCATTTTAAAGAGATTCCTATCCTAGCATACCTGAAACACTCGTTAAGTTAATCTTCTCTTATTTCTATTACATTTCAGATATTGTTGTTTTCTGTTTCACAAACAGTGACGTGAAGTAACGTTGTCACAGATCCATAGGACTAATAGAGCCGGAACCTTTAATTGCGACTAGAGACGATATCACAACTAAACATTGTGAGTGCAACATTTTATATTTCATCTCTCCAGCTATACACCGACATTAAAAACAGATGTCAATACACAATTCTTTCGTTGCTAGTAATGCGTTAGTAAACTTCTGGCGGCGTAAAAGTTTTATGTATGCATGCTGTGAAATAAAAGACAACTTTCCGTGTACCCTCTCTGTTAAAGGCAGGCAAATTTTGGAAAGGTTAATTACAATTCCGGTCCTATTAATCTCCCTATATTATGCAGGCATAAACAAATATGATAAAATACGACGAACAATTGAAGAAGACAAATACAATTTCAGCGTCTCGGAAAATACAAGTATAAATTTGCATGAATAACTAATAACGTTATGTCATGAATACATTTCACTGGATAATGTAACTGCATCTTACGATGACACCGTCGTGGATTTTGATTCTCCATGTTCTCATGATTTAAATAACTTACATGTTCAGTTGCATATTACATTATACATACAGCGAAACATGCATAAATCTCGAACATAAATCTTTTCAAGATTATTATGATTACATTTAATAACACGTAAGTGCAACATTTATATTAATAAAACTAGTAAATATTTATATATATAGCAAAATTAATATTGAAATTTTGTAACATTTCTTTGACGCATGTATTTAAGACGTTTTAAAATAATAATCTAAATTAAGCTTTTTGTTAATACATAAAATTGTCAAATTCATATCAAAATTCATTAAGGTCGAATATTAGATTATTGTAGAACTCACCTAAAGCGGCATTTTGAAAAGCTACGTCCAAAAATGGACCTAATCCAGGGGGCTACCTGTTCCTTATCTCCATGGTGACGTTGATGTACGGTGTTCAGTTATGATGTTGCAGCAGCTGTTGCGTGTTCTCACTTCCGGATTGAAGAGTGAAGAACACAGTGTAACACTCGATTCCATCTCACCCAGTCTTATCAATGTCACATATTTCAATTGTCTCCAATTGACAGAAAGTTCATCCCATTGATAACAGATTTATATTATTCAGTTCTCTTACGCAGTGTCTTTCATTCGGTTCTAAGTAAAGTCATCTGGAGTTAATTTCATTGAAGTGGCTCTATTGCTGATCTGCGGGAAAGTAATGCTGATGTCAGTTTAACGTCAAGCTCCTGTTTACGGGCGGTGAATTAGATCTATTTATCTCGGGATAAAGATAGTGCGTCATGATTTAAAAAGCGATTGGTTATAATTATCCGCAACGGAGCCAGACGAAATATATGGATCAGTTTCCCAGTCACGTTACTAGTTTGGGTTCACAGAATTACTGGGGTTTTGGACTTTTTTCATCGTCCGGAATTTTAGGTAATAGAGGACACGACGTTTCGGAAACTGGAAAGCACTAATCTCAATCACTGGAGATTAGCTCTTTCTAAGGGGCCCAACTGAGTAGGTGTATTCCTTTCTCACCTGAAGACGGAAACAGATCCGGTTTCCGAAACGTTGTGTCCTCTATTACGTACAATTCCAGAAGATGGAAAAAGTCCAAAACCCCAGTAATTCTGTGTATCATCCACAATCGTCAGAACCCTCTAGAACCTACTTTAGGTTCCCATTCGCGTTAGCAATATCACAATTTCTACTGTTACAGAATCGGAAATGTTATTTCCATCTACCTCCAGTCCTCATAAGCGTCTTCTAAGATCCAGCTGCCCAATGCCTATTTTTTTGGTTCCACAAATGCACTTTCCAGTGGTTTCCCAACTAAAATTTCGTATATATTTCATGTTTCCCCCATCACTTTAGCCTCCTTGATGTCATGTAAGTGATGATGAGGTTCATCTTTATGAAATATCCTGATGTTCTCATTTACTTCTTCAATTTTAGGAGCAAATACTCCCTCTACGTAACAAAATGTGTTCAAACACTTGTGCTCTATAATATTCTCCGAAAGTGACGGTAGAGGCCCATATAGAAGACAGGACTAATTCATAAGTTATCCAAAATAATACTTAGCTTCAGGTTGAATGTGTGAACGGCTGTGAACGCTATATTCAGGCGAACAGCTAATGTAAGGCTGTGTCCACATTAGCGAGCCGAGATCCCAGCCGAGCTTCGAACCGAGCCCAGCCGCGAGCACATGTTATAACTTTCCATGCGGCTGGCAGTTATGTTCGCCAAATATGGACGTGTTTAATGCTCACGACAGGCCTCGTCTCGAAGCTCGGCTCGCTGATGTGGACACAGCCTAACGGTATTGGCCTGTTCCAAGGTAAAACCCTGGAATAATTAAGAAGGGAGCCGGTCCTAGCGTCCGCGCAGTCTGCTGCATGAACTGTCTTCTCCCGCACAAACAATGGGATCCTTTATTCGAATTCCACTCAAGGCATGGATGTTTCTGTACGTTTATTTTGTGTTTGTACTGTCCTGTGTGCAGGGCAGCGGTCCTGAGATGGGCTGATCCCCCCAAGGGGTACTACCGACTGTGTAAAATATCAAGAAACTGAAAATGCGGCCAAGTCCTAACTAAGGTCGGTAGACAGATAGGTAGACAGATAGACAGAAAAGGCAAAGGCCACAAGACATGTTGTGAAAGAAAAACACGAAAAAATTCTCTAAGTGTAACAATTTTCTTTCGATCTAAATTCGAATGGGATACACACTGAGCTATGTCCTAGCGAATACTAAAGTGTGTTTTGGTGTAGGGCCAAATTACTGTGCCACAATTTTGTTATGAGTCTTACAAACATGGCTGCTTCACAGCATATCATAAAACGCCGGCTTTTATGAACAGATGCACGCAATAAAATCCAGCTTGTTTTATAACGGACTTATCAGAGAAGTAATCGTACTGGGCTAGAATATTTCCGGCCAATCGGCTTTTCCCCACTGGGCCGCCGCTCTTCACACAAGGTGTCTATAATAGGCCTTACAGGTCAGACAGTAATTACAACATTGGTTCCCATTTCTGAACCGGAAGGCTGTCAAATTCAAGGTAAAGAAATTAATATAAACTTATAAATTCCATTACTAAGAACCATTTTAAATTTCGTGTCGTTAGAGGCTATTAGGCCGGTCACGGTAGCCGAGCGGTCTAAGGCATGTACTGTCTTCGTTCGCTTGGAAACCGGGATCGTGGGTTCGAATCTCACTCAGGGCATGGATGTTTAGTTTGTGTGTGTGTGTGTGTGTGTGTGTGTGTGTGTGTGTGTGCAGGTAGAGGCCTTGCCACGAGCTGATCACCCGCCCAAGGAGTCCAACGGTATGTGTAAGATCTAGAAAAACCGAAGTGAACGGAGAAGTTCATGGAGGTAGGTCTAGGCCCACTGGGGCTGTAGTGCCAAGAAAAAAAAATAGAGGCTATTAGAGCCAATCAGAGTGGCCGCGCGGTCTAAGGCATTAACCGTCTTCGAACGCTCGAACACTGGGGTCGTGGGCTCAAATCCCACTCGAGGCATGAATGTCTGTTTGTGTTTATTCTATGTTTGTGTTTTTATGTATATGTAGCTGCCTTGCGACTGGCCGATCCCCGTCCAAGGAGTCCTACCGAATGTGTAGATGAATAAGCTACTGGAAAAGCGGCCAAGGTCCAGAGGGCTGTATAGTCATGGAGAAGGAATTGGAGGTTATTAAGAAGAGACCGAGCAGGAAGAGGAGATAAGCCCGAAGTGTGAAAGCTTGAAAGGGGAGAGATATCAGTGCCTCATGCCTTTGTGTGGCTGAAGCGAATTTGGAAGGGCTTACCATGCAAACGTAACCTCTTCTTTTAATATTAAGATATATGTAAAATGTGTCCCTGTGCTTAAACTAATTAGCACTACGCCATGAAGACGTATGAGGAGTGGATGTATACGTCCACATATTCTTTACTAAGGTACTCGTTGAAAGTGAGTTATTAGCTTCACGGACCGGCCATTTTACCCCCGGTGCCGATTGGATAGGAGGCTGGGTGGGCCCTAAAACGATCTGGACGACGTGGAGAGAAGAGAAACCTTACCCATACTGGGACTCAAACACCGACCCCTCGGCCGTCCAGCCTGTTACGACCAGTATATCAAGTAAGACAAGTTGGACGGGCCACATGACACGCATATGAAAATCTGGGAAAGTAATACAAAAATGTCGCCGAGCCTGAACAGAAGCGATCACTTTGGAGACCTTGACGTAGGCAAAAGAGTAATATTAAAATGGATCTTAAAATATATGAGAATGCAGAATATATGCACTTGGCTTCAACATCAGCTAGTTGAAGGATCTTGTGGTAATGAATATTCGGCTTCCATAAAATTCAAGCCTTTCTTGAACAGCTGAATGACTATCAGTTTTACGAGAAGTACTCTACTTCACGGATGTAGCACTATTACGGATATTTTGTGCTTATAACTACGAATATATTGTGCAGAATTCTTTGAAGGGTAGTGAATAATGAATTGGAAATGATATAGAATAAATTGTCACGGCACAATCGAGGTACTGTCATACAATTTTCCTGCAGGGTCTGAGAAAACACATGAAAATTTTCAGTCAAGATAGCCAGTGTCCCGACAGAGATACAAACCTAGAACTTCACGATTACAATTCTTCAGCGTTATCTTTACACCATTCTACTCTATACCGTCACTAGCTCCCTCTCACAATCTGCATCTATAAACAATCAAAGAGACACTTCGAAAGGAACTCTAATGTTTACTTCGCAAGATGGAAATGCTTCAAGCTCTACATGAAATATGTCACCTACATAAACTGACCTAATCCTTACAGCCGCACTATGGTCCGGGAGTCGACTGACCCGCTATCTGTGAGCCGCTTTTCTAGGAAATGTGGGAGCCTCGACGTCTCATAATTCTATGGGTATCCACGGCCTGTTACAGGGATAGCTTCATGTTATACACACACATACATATATATATACAGCCTCTGTCTACTGGGTAACAAAAGAAACACAGTATTCACTGTGTCGATAAACAAACAACAACAACAAAAATCTCCGTGGTTTTAGTCCGCAAACGAACTATACCGAACGAGCGACCGCCGCTTGTCGGCGAAGTTACAGCAGTTCAAACTTTTGCGGATAGAGGGTGTCGCGTGGTCAGCGCAACGGATCCCCACGGCCGTTAATCTTGGTTTTCTAGACCGGATCCGCTATTTCCTTGAAATGCCTCCTCAGTTACCCTCACGTGGCTGAGTGAACCCGGTTCCAGACCCACTACTTCTCAGAAAATCTGGCAGCGCAGGGAACTTAACCCGGTACCCATGGATCTGTAGCCAGAAACTCTGACCACGAGACCACAGAGGCGGTCGCTATCAATAAACACATTATTTTTTTTATGAAAATGTTGTTGAGGCGTGAGTGAAGCAGGGTGACATGGTAGTGGCATAAGTTTACATGTAACTTCCCCAGTTACACCTCCATTCAAAGCAATGTTCACAAGTTATCAGACAACATGAATATACATGTCGTTTGCTTTTAAATCGCATCAATTTACGTAGCTTATTTGGTGTCACCTTTAGGTAGGAAGAAAGGCCGCGGAGCTCTAAGGTCAAATTGGGATGATAAATGTTACCTGCCATTATCAGGAATCGAATCCTGCTCGTCTAGTACGTACTCGGTGTCTACACTGACAGTTACACAGTTCATTATGAAGTTCATAATATCTTCTCGGACTACCAGACGTGTCAGGCGGTTACAAGTGACTGACATTCCAGGGACTTCATCCCCGACATCTCGTTGCTGATGGGGGCAAATATGGTCTCTGAAACGTCAGTCATTTGTAACCAAATGACATGGCTGATAGCCCGACAAGGATCTATTAACTTTAGCTAGCGTGAGAGCTTCACTTCTTATACTGTCATGCTACTCAATGTTACATCATACATAAACAGCCTTACCTTCTAACGGAACATTTAGCGTACTCCAATCATCATAATTTATTCTACAATTTCCATACGAGCCGATCACAGTGGCCGCGCGGTCTGAGACATGAACTGTCTTCGCTTCCTCGAACACTGGGATCATGGGTTCGAATCCCATTCAAGGCATAGATGTCTGTGAGGGTTTATTCTGTGTTTGTGTTCTTCTGTGTGTAGGTAGCGGCCTTGCGACGGGTTGATACCCCGTCCAATGAGTCCTG